CCTGAGTTGTTTGTAGCACAGGCTTTAAGCAATTAGCACAGCTGTGGGTAACCGCTTGCAGCTACAGTCGGTCAGTCAGTCGGGCCTGAGACCTAAGCCAAGCTGTGCCGGAGCTAGGGAGCCCAGGCGGGAAAGCGGACCCACCAAGCCAAGCAGTTTTTAATGAATTCTTGCCACACTGGGCAACAAATGTAGATGTAACCATCTTTTTAAAGAAGAAACACAGAGCTAATTCAGAGATGAAAGCCAAGAGGTCAGAGCAATAGCTAAGAGCTGAGATTAAAAACCTTACCCTTCACTGCCACTGCTGCCCTACCTCTCTGCAAGAAACCTACTTCCTGTGTGTTTGTCCTTTTTATTGACTTTCTATTCTGCCTTCTCATTGGTTGTAAACCCAACCACATGACCTCCTCGTCACTGCCTGTCTGTACAGACCTCCAGGTCTTCTATGGTTGGTATTGAGATTAAAGGCATATGTCTCCATGCTGCCTTATCCTTGAACACACAGAGATCTGCCTAGCTCTGCCTCATAAGAGCTGGAATTAAAGGCATGCACCACCACCACCCTATTTCTGATATGGCTTGCTACTGGCTCTGACCCCCAGGCAACTTTATTTATTAACATACAAATAAAATCACATTTAAGTACAATTAAAATATCACCATATGGGCAACATTCACAATCAACCTATAACATCAAGGCAAAAGATTTATGACCTTATCAAATCTTGAACATCTCACTTCTTAACATTTTTATAATAACGTTTAAATTTAACATGGGTTTTAGAGATGACATTCAAACTATAGCCTTCTACCCTGCTCACCCCAACACACACACACACACACACACACACACACACACATACACACACAGTCACACACACACACACACAACCCTCATACCTTTTCACACACAAAATAACATTCATTCCATACCAATAAGTTTTATTTTGCTGACAATATTTCACACAACCATTCACCTTGTGAACTTTGTTATTCATCATTCACATGGGAAAATATAAACTTGTGTAGTTCATGTATAGCATCACAGAAGGTTGCACATATGTCTACACCTCAAATGAGAATTTTATCTTCTCCCTGTAATAACTTGTTCCTTATCCTGATATCCACAAAAGAATTGAGGACAAATGAAGAGCTGGAAGGTCATGTTGACTCATCTGCAAAGGAGGAAAAGAGAGAACCATACAAACAACACTGGAATCTACAGCAATCTCTCAAATTACAGAGGCCACCATAGGACAAAATTGGCTGGAGATGTCTCTCAGTTGGTAGAATCCTTGCCTAGCATGCACAGAGTTCTGGTTTAATCCTCTGCTCCATTATATCCACCTTCCTGTACCCTCTGTCTTGGTCTCATTCCCCTACATCGTCCCTCTGGCTGACACTCACATGGCTGGTACAATCTCCTGGTTTGCCTGTACTTCAGAAACATTGCTGTGTCTATTATTCTCTAGTCATGGTGTGACTCCTTGTGCACCTGTGTCTCTCTGGTCTCATCTCTGACTCCCTGAGAGTCTGTTCTCCTTTTATGTCCTTTGTCTTGATTACTCTTCTATTATTCTGCTAAGACACCATGACCAGCTCAGCTGAGAGAAAAAAAAAGAATTTTCTGGGGCTGACAGTTTCAGAGGTGAGACCATAACTATCATGTTAAGAACATGAAAGCAGGTGGACAGTCATGGTGCTGAAGAAGTACCTGAAAGCTTACATCTCATCCATGTCATGAGGCAGACAGAGAGCTAACTGGGAAAGGCATGAGCTTTGAAAACCTCAAAGCCCATCCCCAGTGACACACCTCCTCCATCAAGGCCACACCTTGTAGTCCTCATAATACATTTCTACCAACTGGGGACCAAGTCCTCAAAAAATATGAACCAGTGGGGGTTATTCTCACTCAAACTACCACATCCTGCTTTGTCTAACATCCATCTGTCCTTCTCACCCAGATACTTTGTGTCTCTGTTAACTATTTCTAGTATCACATATCTTAATTCTATTTTTTTCTGTGAAACTTCTATTTCAAAATGTATCCTTGGATCTTTAACTTATCATCCTCCATCCCCACCCCAAGAACCTGTCTCTTCATCACTCTTCTGAATCTTTAGCAAGCACACTCTCCATCTCTTTGTCTCCAATGTGTTGACCTCCTGCACATACACCTGGGACTCAGCTCAGGTTTTCCAAAGCTCCACCAGCAGACCCCAAGCGTCTACCTTGACATCAACCTCCATGCTCCATTTTCTGCTACAAAGTCCTTCATGGTGGTCATATAGAACCACTAGAGGAAGTTCCAAGTTATACTTTGGCCAAAAATAAAAAATAAAAACCAGCATAAGAGTGGGGTGGGTAGGATCTTCCCTCCAACTAACCTCAAAACCATCTCCCACTCATCACTTCCTGGAAGATGGATCAATGATGGTCATAAGACTTTGGCCAGAGAAAGCCTCAGCCTGATCCTCTATGGCCTCCCATATTGCCTCATGTCCATACAGGACAAGACTAGGCTGAAGCCCATGTAGAGTGTGACAGTCTCAAAAATTATTAAGGACCAGCCTTAATAATCTTCTTCCGAGGAGCTTAGAAGAGAGGCTACAAATGGCAAAATTATTTTCAGGAAAAGAATCTAAGTACACCGAGCTCTTTTGTCTGTCTACTTTATTCCTCTCAGATAAAATTCTGTCTACATAGCCTCAATTCTGCTCTCATGCCTAGCTACTTTCTTGCCTGATTTCTCTCTACATTTATCTGCTGTCCCCTTTAAGTTCTATCTTAATTCTCTCATCTTAGTCCTGCCCCATCTAGGTTCTCATCCATTTAGTTCTTTCCTATCTTAACTCCTCTCCCATCAACTTCTTTCTCATCTTGTTCTTCCTCATCTGGCTATTTCTCATCTTCCATCTCATTCCTCTAGTATTCTGTTCTAGCTTTTCAATGTTCTTCCCCATCTCAGTTTGTTCCTCTCCAGTTCTTACCCATCTAGTTCTTCAATTCTCTTTTCTCTTCTCCATCTAGTCCTTGCTCTGAAAATAAAACTGTCTTTTACCCCTTTAGCCCTTATCTCTCCAAACTATCTCTGCTCCCACATTTTCTGGCAGGATGGGGGAGAAGTGTGCTTGATCACTTGGCATCTTGGCTAAGCCACTTCCATAACAGCTGGATGTACCTGTAGGTAAGAACGGTTTAGTTCTGAGTTAATTGTTAAAGGTTGATCTAAAACTGGAGATAAGATTTTAGAAAGGAGAAAGTTAAGCTTAATTATCACATCTCCAGGCCTGTTCAAACAGATAGTCTGGATGCTTAAGTTCTTAGGGAGCACAGAGGTATCTCTGATCAGATACTTTTGTCCATCCAGGGATGGTCCTGGCCAGATGCTGCCAATGATGATAATTAATGAAGGCTTGAACTGGGGTTCTGGCTGTGCATAGCTGTCAGTGCAGAAGGTTCTCAAAACATTCCATTAGTGCAGGAGAAGTTGTGCCCAATGAATAATGGAAAAGCTACAGTAGTGCATGAGAAATTCATAGCAGGAAATGGATATTAATCAAAAGCCAATATCAGCCGGGCGGTGGTGTCCCACGCCTTTAATCCCAGCACTCGGGAGGCAGAGCCAGGCGGATCTCTGTGAGTTCGAGGCCAGCCTGGGCTACCAAGTGAGCTCCAGGACAGGCGCAAAGCTACGCAGAGAAACCCTGTCTCAAAAAAAAAAGCCAATATCACCAAGACTCCTTGAGCCTCAGTGTAACCTCTTGAAGGCCCTTGGCTTCTTCCAGGTATTAGCTTGTCATAATCAGCTGAAATCCTACCTCATATATTTTTATGGCTTGTAGCATGACAGTGTCTCCATATTTCACCCTCAGCTGCAGAGGTAGGGCTAAGAACTCACAAGCTAACCATAGTGTTGGGTCCTTCCTCTCTGGATCACACTCCCAAGGTTGTCTGGGTCTCATCAGGGAAGAACCTAAATTTGAGTTCTGTGTTTTCACATGACCATCTCTCTCATACCCTTCCATGGTCCCAGCTTTTCTGAGAACCTTCCCAACTTAGGACTTTATGAAATTCAGGGACTCCATGTAAGCAAATGCAGCTCTCAAGGATGGAGACCACATTACATCTATCTGCACCTATCTCCCCACCTACCTTCAAACTGTTCCTCCTCATAAGAACTCTAGAAGCTTCTCTAGTGCCATGGCAGGGATGGAAGAAGAATTAAAGGATTCACAACCTGATCTGGAGATGTCTGTTGAACCGTGGACTTGCAACTCTTTGCTGCCTGTGAGCATCACTTCCTTCCTCCCACCTCCTGCCTCCTCCCCATCTCACCCCTTGGAAAGATGTGAGTAGCTCATGAGGTCTGTTTGTGAAATGTTCTCCAGCAAAGGCAGAAGCCATTGTCCATGATAAAGACAGTTCTTGAGCTGGAGCCACCCGAGATCCAGACTAGCAAGATTTAGGAGAAGCCAGAGTGCCATGGTCCTACATTACCATGCTGAACATTCCTGTTTTTCTTGAAAACAGACTGTTCTGTTTTTTGTCCGGTTTCTGTGGTTGGTGGAAGAGAGTGAGCCAGAAATGTATCTTGCCAAACCTCCTGATAATTCACCATAGGCTACAGGGAGGTTGGCAATGAAGGTGGAAATATGGAATCTCAAAGGTGAGTTGAGAGCTGCCTGCTGATTGGCCAATGGCTGCCTAGAGACACCTTCCTAGGTGATGATGTCAAATAAATGACACTTCCCACAAGCACCTGCTTGTCCCAGCAGTGCAGTGTGCAGAGGCTGAGTTTCAGGGGACACTGCTCAAAGGGTGGCTCCCAGACACTTGTGTCAGAAGGTGACAAGACAGCAAGAGCAGATGACTCACCAAACTGGGTCAGTCAGGAGAGTCTGGGGACGAGGATTTACTCTGGTCATCTGAGGGGAGTGACAGAGATTTGAGACAGACTAGGTCTGGCTGCATATTGGGTAAGTATAACGAGTGACTCATTTTGTCACAGTGTTGAGTTGTTTATTTACTTATTGATTATTTTCCCACCATATTTAACACCTGGCATCAGTCACCTCCTGTTCCAGGTTCTCACAATGCCACAGGGAACAAGGAAACAGGGTGTCCCTTCACAAACCTGGCCTGGATATGGTCAAGTTTGCAGCCAGAAGCCCTTCTGAGAAGAACCTTAGTTACCAGACAACCAAGAGGCCTCATGCAAAAGTATCCAAGAGTTCAGGGGACTGGACCTTGTGACAGCTACTCTTGAGTGTTGACTTGACTGTATCTGGCATCAACTAAAACCCAAGCTGCTGAGCATGCTCTGAGGGATTTCTTATCAGATTCTTAGAGGCAGAAAGACCCAGCCTAAATCAGGACCACACCTTTTGCTGGCAAACACAGGAAAGAAGGTAAATGGGCTTTTGGCTGAGAAAGATCAAGAGAAAAGCCTAAGAAGGTATGTGACTGTGGCCTGCAATGCACAGGGACCTTGAAAATATTGTGTGAAGTAAAAGACACCAGACACCAAAGATCACACACTATGTGATTTTGTTGACATGAGCCATACATATTAGGCGAATCTATAGAATACAGTATTCAGATCATATACAGAGTCCATTGGCATAGATCATGTATCTACAGGAGCTGACACATGGGGACTATGGCTATCGGGAGTGATTCAGTATGAGATGTGGCCTCCAAATCTCTCTGTCCACACATCAAGAAAGGCACCTGATTGATTTCTCCAGTGCCATTCACAGGGCAGAAGAACACACCTCCAGCTTTGCAGAAGCTGCAGTGAGGTCTTATGAAGTGAGCAGTGACCCAGGGCCTGGTTTCCAGCAGGTCTCTCAGAGGCAGAAAGATGGGGCCATTCTCAACAGGAATGAGGTCACCTGGCCACCACAGCCTAATCAGCGGGCCAAGAAGCAGACCTGGTATGTTGGAGGCACTTTGCCAAAGCCACTCTCCTTGGGATTGAGGTCAATGTCCTTAGGAGCCATGGGACTCGACACGGAGAAGTTCTGGAGGATGGTGGTGAAGAAAAGGAACAATTCGTTGCGGGCAATGCCTTCGCCAAGACAAATGCGCTTTCCTGTAGGCACAGAGAATGAGCCATGTGAGCCCCAGGGCAGTATACAACCTTTGGACTGTCCTATCCCTAAACCCAGATAACTCTGGGGATTGCAAAGAATAACAACGAGTTTGACCTTAAACCTGCACTTGGAAAATACTAAGAGATTCCCAAAACCTTAAAGAATTGGTGCAAGGGCCAGTAAGACTTCTTAGCTTGGAAAAAGAGCCTGTTATCAACCCTGAAGACGAGTTCACCCTCTAGAACCACATGTTGCAAGGAGAGAACCAACACCCACAGTCTGTCCTTTGATATAAAGACATATACACCCACCATAGCACACAAGTATATACTTTCAAACATATACACAATTAATTAATCAAAAATTCAGGACAATCTGTTGGTGTGTGTCTCATGGTCACTTCCAACAGCTCTCTACCATTTGTGGGATTATCAGAGTCCTTTGTTCCAGAACTGTAAGAAGGTACTATAATAGGAGCCAAGTGTGTATGTGTACACATGTTTAATGCAACATCTTTTGTGTTCCCTTCTAGCTCATGTGAGGGATTGGTACCCATGTCATGGGACTGCCCTGAGGGTGAAGGTACTGTTTACAAAGACTCTTAGATGAACAACTGGATGGTGTTAAGGGTCCTATAAGAGCCAAACATGGAGGCACATGTGTGCAAGTGCAGCACTTTGAGACTGAGGCAGGAAGTTGATAGACTACAGAGCATGGCCTCTCTGTCTCTCCCCTTTCTCTGTCCCCTCTGTCACCCATCCTCTCCTCCACCTTTCTCTCTTTCTCTGTCCCCTCTGTCACCATCCTCTCCTCTGCCTTTCTCTTTCTCTCTACCTCCTTTGCTTCTTCATCTTGTGACCAATGAACTTCAGCGAGTTCCCAAACACAATGGTTCACACAATCAAGAATGGGCAGGGGCATCCAGAGTATTCTCAGAGACATAAGGAGCCTTGTTGATTTGTCACCTCAGGCACAGAGCACCACAGAAAATGGGAGCCTGAAAGCCCAGGCAGAGGCTCCACCTCCTGCCCTGTACCTCAGAGATTCTTACTCTGCACCTGACCACCTCAGTCCTCAGGTAGAGGAGGGATTTCCCAGCAATGCCTGTGCCCTCCAGTTGTTGGGAAATCGTGCCTGTGTAGGGGTGTCTAGGGAAAGCACCCTATCCCTTTGGGTATCCCATTTCCAGAACTTAGGTGACATGACCTTAGAAATTCATAGAGTGTCTCTCTGAGACAGTTCTCCTGGAATTCATTTTATGACCCAGATTTTTCCAGAGCAGCTTTTTATGGCTGATCTCACTCTCAACACAATGTTCCCAAGCCTGGAGCTGGTGATTCAGACACTGCTCATATCTCTTTGGTTCTAATATCCTTTTGGCTGGCTTGCTTGCTTGCTCACTCTCTAGCTTCCTTGCTGGCTTGCTTGCATTCCACATAAGTCTCCTTGAAGCTGTGTCTACACTGACCATTACTACGTGTCTTGTTATCTATTCTTTTCTGCTTGCTTTTTCTAAACTTCCTAGCCAACATTCTAAACCCTCCAACTTCTCTGTCCAACCACATTTGTTCATGCATTTCTTCAATGTCTTCTTCTTACATCCCCTTTCTCAACAATCTGCATTTCTAAACTTGGAACCGTTATACAGACAATTCACTTATATCTCACATCTTACGTGTCTTCAACTATGAGGATCAAATAGGAAAGGAGGCCCTTTTACTGGACAGAGCCAGGAACAAGGCTAATCCCAGGGTCTTGAAGTCACTTGGACACTCAACACTAGACAATTCTTAGCTGAGACATGGCAAGTAAGAGAACACTTGCTTGAAAACCCTCAGTGAGTAAATGAGAACAGGAGAAGGAACAACAGGAGAGCATCTTCTAGAATGCACCAAGGAGAGGCTGGAGGTGTGAACTCTTCTGAGAGAACTTGCTTAACAAACACTTACCCTCAGGTTCCATCCCTATCATGAGAATACAACTAAAGGCTAATGAATTGTTTCTAGAATCCCCTTTCTCCAAAAGATAAAAACATGAACAAAAAGTTTCCATATTTACATCTCATAGAGTTCATAAGACTGAATAAATTTGGATGGAAGCACTAACAAATTACCAAACACAACAGCCAACACAATAACTCAATACCTTGAGATTATATTCTTCCAATGAAGAAGAAGTCTCGGTCTCTCATAGCAGTTGACCTACCCTAGGCTGCCAACTACTCCAGCCTGGCCAAGTAAGGCAAAAGCAGAACTGGCAACAATTGAGCTGTGTGTCCATGCCCAGCTCCCTATTGTCTATAGACACCATGTGCTGACAATAATGGGTGCTGTAACTCTGAACTTTTTCTGGTTCAGGATGTTATCCATCATGAACGGTTTCTTTGCTCAAATAAATGGTAGTAATTTTTATTTCTATTACATTTTAGCAAGCCAGAGTATTTACTGCATACAGAGACAAGCATGTCAAGACATGCCCCAACTCCCCAGTGCTCACAGCTAAAGTCAATGCTTCCTTGGCCATCAAGACCCTACCCAATTCACAGCAGTGTTCATAGATGATAGCAGTTGTTCTTGCTGCTGGTTCTTAAGAAATCGCATTTTCTCAGATTTAGAGGCTTTTAAATAATTCCCCAAAGTACTGATGAACAGAATGCTCCTTTAATTCAAGAGTACTCTTATGGCACTGTAGCCAGGGTGAATAAAATGGTTCAGACAAAGCAGCTGGAATAGAATCAGTAAACAGGGTCCTAGACCTGGCTGTGTCCAGGAGGATGAGCCTGCCCTATAGTGTCTGGGAAAGGAAGCACAAGTGGGTCTCACCTATAGAGAAGGGCATAAAAGCTTCATTTTTCTTCAGAGCCCCATTGGCATCCAGGAAGTGGTCAGGGTTGAAGGTGTCTGGTTGTTCAAAGTACCGTCGGTCATGGAGAGCTGAACTCAGGATGGGGTACACTTCAGTGTTCTAGGAGACATTATGAGACACAAAGATATTAGCATACCCTGACTCCCATCTGCAAACTGTCAGTCCCTGAGAAAGACAGAGTGTAGGAAACCACAAACAGGCTGAGGTTGGTAATGAGGAGAATGGAGGATGGACATGGAGTAGAGATGTGGAATGGCAGCTGGTCTCACCTTGGGAAGCAGGTACCCTCGGAACAAAGTGTCTTTGGTGACTTTGTGCGGGACACCAATCGGGACTAGATCTGAAAATCTCTGAATCTCGTGGATGACAGCCTCAGTGTAAGGCATTTTGGTGCGATCCTCCAGGGTTGGGAGTCGGTGTGAGCCAATCACCTGATCGATCTCCTTTTGCACTTTCTCTGCACAGAAAAGAGGAACACTGGATCTGCTTTGCCTGCTTTGTAGCAATGATATTTCATTCTATAAGCCAACAACCCAGGAAAGAGGGCATCATGGAGCCTCCCTGAGAAACTCACTGCACATGTGGGTACAAACAACTGTCCTGTTCTTAAGCGACTGTCTCTCTGTGCCCATGCTTAAAACTATATCACAGCTCTCCTCGACGAGCTTCAACCTCATTTCAGCAGGGATTCAAAAAAAGAGAAAAATACAGCAAAGGGCTATTGCATAGGGAGACTTCAGAGCAATCATATTGGTGTAAGAGTGTGAGGGAGAAAAGCATAAAAATCTCACCTTCGCAAGGGAATGAATTGTCTGTCTATACACACACACACACACACACACACACACACACACACACACATACATATACACATGTTACACACATACACCCTAGTACTAACAAACACATGCTTCCACTCACACACATGCCATAAATTTACACTGATATTGTATTATGAGCTGGAGGCTGTATCCTCAGGAATATAACAGAGAAGTAGGTAGATTAGCAAATGAATCTATCAATGGATGCATGTAAAATGAATACATAATAAAATTAATGGATAAATCAATTAATAAATGAACAGATTTGTGAGTTAATGAAATGATTAGACTGAATACTGGATTATGTATTCAACTCATAAGTCAACAGATGACTCAATTAGAGGATAAAGGCATAATGGATAGACAGATGAAAGATAAACTCAAAGGCTAGTTAGTGAAAGGATTAAGGAATAAAACTTTTGAAGGAAGAATAGATGAGTTTATGCATAATCAATGACAATTCATTCAATTCTACCTATCAAAGGGAAACTAAGTTGATGAATTGAAATAAATGAATGAAATGGCCAGTTGGGTAATCACAAAAAATTAGACAGTGGATTGATACATGGTTAAATGGGTAGGTACTGGGTGTGTGTGTGTGTGTGTGTGTGTGTGTGTGTGTAAGTGTTTATATATAGATAGAAGGATGGTTGAGTAAATAGGTGTTTAGTTAGGCAGATGCTTAGATTAATGTGAAAATGAATGAATAGAAAGGTGGATGACATGAGTTGGTCGGTGGACAGAAAGGTGGGTAAATGAACAGAATGAGTAGATGGATGAACAGGTGCATGGACAGAAAGATGAATGAATAAATGGATGTAAAGATAGAAAAATGGAAGGAAGGAAAGAAAGTTGGATGGATGGATGGATGGATGGATGGATGGATGGATGGATGGATGGATGGGTGGATGGATGGAAGATGGATGGGTAGATAGATGGGTGGGTGGATGGGTGGATGGATGGATGGTTGGATGGATGGATGGTTAGATGGTTGGATGGATGGATGGGTGGATGTGTGGATGGATAGATGGATGGTTGGATGGATGGATGGGTGGATGTGTGGATGGTTGGATGGTTGGATGGTTGGATGGATGGATCAACCTTAAAGTGATAGGAGAAATAAATGGAAAATGGGCCAGCTGAGTGTTAATTTGCACAACAACCACAGTACTGCCCTAGTTTAGAAGTAGTCCAAAATCTTCAGAGCTCCAGTTGTAAGAGGCCCCAGTATCTCTCATCCACACAAATCTCCACAACCAAAGGGGAGCTAGAAGAACACCCAACTGACCGCCTGAAGCGCACCTGCAACTTGAGGGTATTTGAGCATGAGCAGGAAGCCATAGCGGAGCGTGGTGCTGCTGGTCTCGGTGCCAGCAAAGAAGAGAGACAGCACGGAGATCATGAGGTTCTCGTGATGGAACTCTGTCTGTTGGTTGGACTTCTCCTGGTTCCAGATGGGAGAGAGAAGGGAAGGTCAGGATGACTGGATCCTGACAGGGAGATGCTCACACATCCTGGGAACTGACCTTCTGTCTCACACTGTATGGACCACACGGCATTTCTCAGTCCTCGACAATGTCACTTACTCCCTGTTCTGTCTCCTTCTCTCTCGACTTCGCTCTCTGGTAATTTATCAAGTTTTGTCTCCCAAGCTCTATCTTCTTATGAGGTCTTTTCTGCTTTCTGTCCCTTGCCCTGTGTTCCTTACACAGCCTTCTATATTCCTATTTCATTTTCTCGTCCCTTTCTCTAGTCTTCAATTTCTAGATTCTTCTGCATCTCCTCCACTCCACTTCCTATCTCTCCTCCCCATCCTCTTTCCCCCTTTTCCTCTGCTCACATCCCCAGCCTTCACTCTCACGCATCACTTCTCTCATTCATGCAGGACTTACCTTCTCCATGCGTAGAAGGTAGGTATCGATGAAGTCTCTTGGATTGCTGGGATCCAAGGTTGCCCTGTGCTTCGCCACACTCTGGCCAATGAAGTCAAGGACTTCCTGCAGGTTTTTGGAGATTTGTCTGTGGGCTCCAGGAAAGTACTTCAGGAAGCCAGAGAAGAGCTCAAACACCTGCAGGAAAGAAGCTCAGGAGGTCACCTGGAGCTAGCAGGACTCAATAAGCAGGCTGTGTTCCTAGGTCCCCATATTTCACAAGGATCTGCCCTCTCTCCTTCCATTCTCTCCCCTCCCCTCCCTCACTCCTTTGCTCATCTTCTCTTTCCTTCATTTCCCCTCTCATGCACACACACACAGCATGCTCTCAGCCTGTTTCTCTGAGTCTTTCTCCAGCACTTGTATTGTATTCTCTCTCACTCTTTCCTAAGCCATCATTTTGTTTTTGTTTTTGTCAATCAGGGTCTCATGTCTTTCAGACTCTCCTCAAACTCAATATTTATCCAAAGATGGCATTGAAGTCTGATCTCCCATGTAGTGGAATTGCACATATGTACCGCCATATCTGGCTTAATTTGTGCTAGGGATGAACCCCAGGATTCACCCGATAGACAAGTCCTCTACTCTCTTAGCTACAGCCACACCCCCCATGTCATCATTTTCTCATGTCTGGGTGACTCGGTATTTCTGCATTAGGGTTTCTCCACCCTACTTAACATCTGACCCCCATCCTCGCCTCGCCCTCCAGGCCTCAGGCTCCTTGTCTCTCCATGTTGTCTCTGCCTTTGTCTTCCAGCCCTGAGACACTCCCTTCTTCACCCACAGAGCAGCCTCTTCTCTCCTCTGCCCTGGATGCTCCTCTCTTTCCATCCACTGACCTGGCTGGAGAATGAGCTGATGAGAGAGAAGGACCTATAGAACAGGTCCAGCAGGCCCAGGAACTGGCGGTCTTTGTAGTCAAAGCGCTCTCCAAAAACAATGGAGCAGATGATGTTAGCTGTGATGCACTGGAAGAGGAAGGTAGGGTCCACGGGGGCTCCTGGAGAATGAGGATGCAGTTCAGGAGACATGGCATCAGGGGAACATTGGGCTTTGGCCCCATCTCTGTAAACCTGTCCCCACCACTCTCTACTCACTACCAACTGCTGCTACCCCATTTGGACATACAGAACCAAGCCCTGCACTCAGGATTGCATACACCATTTTATTTAATTTCTTCTCAAAATTATACATAAGATGCAATGCTATTAGCATACACAGAGATGGGCACTAACTTCACCAAGGTAACACAGCTCCTCATGACTGGGACCAGGATCAGACCCAGGGGGCTGAGAAGCAGAGCATGTGTATGTGTAATGTAGTCTCCACCGTGCACCTCCTCCCAGGACAACATTCTAACTCTGAGCCCATAGCTGACTCCCACTGGCAGGAATGGTGCAGAGAACGGTGTGGGGTTTGCCTGTGTGGATTTAGAAGTCTCTCCTTTGAATCTTCCTCCATTCCTTCTATTCTAGGCTCTGTGGTGTTCCAAGAACCATCAACACCCAGTGCCTGCTGCCTTTAGTTCCTGGTTCCTTCATGGGCCCTCATGGTGGGAGGGATGTTGTCAGCCCAGCAATATTAAGCCGTTTTTACCCCTCTCTCTGGGTCTCACCTGTCTGTTGTCTCTGATTCCTCTGCAGATCTTTCCCTGATGCTTGTCAGCCTTTATCTGTCTCTCTGATTTCCTGTCTAAATGTCTCTCAGCATTTCTGTCTTTCTCTTTTCCCTCCCCCTGCCTATTTTCCTCCCCTCTATTCCCGTCACTCCTGCTCCCCCAGTATTTCTCTTGTGTTTGGTCCTTCAAGTTCCATCTCAGCATCTGCCACTGTCACCCTGCTTTCTCTTTCCTCGTCTCTTGATTTCCTTCTGCTCCCTTCCAGTCTCTGCATGCACCTCTCAGAGTCTCCTGAGAAATCTTAAAAGAGATGACAAACACTGGCAAAAAGGAATGATTTAGTAAAAACAGACGGGGTCACCAGGATGCCCCTGATGTGAAGTTTCTATAAGTACCCAGAAGTGCCTATGACTGCCACAAAGTAAAACACCCCATCTTTGCTCACCACCCCACTCATCAGGACATCCTCAAGGAAAGAACACAGTTCCCTGCTTCTAATACCTGCCTTGGACATAGACCATGTTTTAAGACTGGATAACATGATAAAGATGCCCTTGAACACAGTATAAAGTCAAGGATGACCTCAACCTTAAGCTCCTGCCTCCACCTCAGTTATACCAAGATGACCAGCATGCAGCACCATGGCAATGGTGTGGTGTTGGGATCAGGCTGGGAACTGTGTGTGTGCCAGGCAAGCCCAGCAAGCCTGACCTGCACCCACTGTGTTGACCACGGTTTCTTTTGAGACAAGATTTCATGATGTAGCCAAACTGGCTTTGAATTTATGATCCTCCTGTCAGTACCCTGATAATGGGGAGGACAGGCTTGCGCTATCACACCAGACTGACACATATTCTTAACCCAGGCATCATTTCCCTGAACATAAGTAGCCTGCATGCAATTCTCTCAGTCTATGTCTTTGAGCCATTCTTGGACACTGTGAAATTCACATCTCTTTCCCTGTCTTTCTGTATTTCTCACTCCCCCTAACTCATTCTCCATCCTCTCCCCAGTGTGTGTGTGTGTGTGTGTGTGTGTGTGTGTGTGTGTGTGTGTGTGTGTGTCTGTGCATGTCTGTGTTGTCTGTGTATATGTTTGTGTATGTCTCTCTGTGTGAGTATGTCTGTGTGTGTCTCTCTGTGTATGTCTTTTTGTGTGTCTGTGTATTTCTTTCTCTGCCCATGGATGTCTCTTCTCTTTCTTTGGCTGTGCACTCAGGTCTCTGTATCACCATCTTCCTTCATGCCCATTCTCCTGGACTCACCCTGAGATTTCCTAAGTTCCTCAACCAGACATTGGGCCTCCTCCTGAATCCGCTCCTCCACACTCCGCTTTCCCATTCCAAAGTCTCTCATGGTGGCCAGAGAGAATCGCCGAAGGGTCTTCCAGCGTTCCCCATTGGCAAAGATCACACCTAAGAAAATAAGAGAAGCATGGGGGAGTTATAGAGGAAGTTCAAAGAAACCTGGGTCCTTCCCCACCCCATGCCCTCCCTTCCATCAGATTCTCCTCTCTCTGGGCCCATTCTCCAGCCCACCTCAACCCAAACTTTGAGACTCCTACCATAGTCCTTGAAGACTGGTCTAACCACAGCAATTGTCCCCCGGCCAGAGAAAGCCTCAGCTTGGTCCACCAGAGCCTCCCTTATGGCCTCTGTGCCATACAGCATGACTACGGGCCTCGGTCCCAGGTGCACTGTGAACACATCTCCATATTTTTCTCGAAGCTACCAAGCATAAGGGCACCAGGATTGTTGTTAGTCAATGAAGACGTTGTTGCTACCCTGTGAAAACACTTAGATACAAAGTGATACATAGGAAGCCCTACCCTGACCACCTTCCCCTTCTGAGGACATAGCAATTTCAGGGTCAATCCACCACCAAGCAAGTCTGCATGGATGCTGGATGATCTGAGCAGTACTGCATTACAGTATGGCAGTGGGTGGGTGGCTCTTGCTATCAGCCCAGCACTGGGGAAGTAAATGAGGTGGATCAGGAGTTCAAGATCATCTCTTGCTGCTGTTGAGGTGGAGGCCAGCCTGGGGCTACATGAGACCTGGTATCAAAAAAATAAACAATATAAAAATATAATGTAGGAAACTGAGAGTGATGAATTAATGTTACAGAGGGTTCAGCAGTAAACTTGCTTAGGAAATACTAAGCTGCACAAGGTAGGGTTTACCTAAGGCAATGCTGCCTCTCATATGACTGGTTGATCAGTAGTAAGACAGCCAGACTTGTTAGAAAATGTAGGAAAAATATTGTACCTTGAACATAATTGTAGTTTAGGCTTCTGAGAATATATTTCTGCTAATATTTGTTTGTTAAGTTAGTTGTGAATTAGGCTCCATTCCCATATTAAAGAACATGGCTCTACTGGGCAGTTCAAAGGGGATAGCACTGGCTAACAATGATCATTAAGTCCCGTTTCTCTTATCAGGAAGAGTGTAATTCTGCCAGGAGGGTAGGAGAGTACCGGTGAGGTGGTTTGAATAAGAATGGCCCTCTATAAGTTCATGTATTTGAATGCTTGGTCACCAGGTTGAAAAGATTAGGATTGGTAGATGTGGCCTGGTTGGAGGAAGTGTGTCACTGAGTATGGGCTTTGAAGTTTCAAAATCCCATACGAAGCCTAGAGTTTTTCTCTCTGCCCACAGATCAGGATGTGGCTCTCAGCTACTGCTCCAGCACCTGCCATACCTGCTGTCATGTTCCTGCCATGATGATAATGAACTAAATGCTTTCTTATTAGAGCTACCTTGGTCATGGAGTCTCTTCACAGCAACAGAACAATGCCTGAGACACAAGCAATGTGATTCAAAAGGAACAACACCAGTCTACTTTAAAATTAATGGTGATGATATCTTTCCTATAACTCTCCACTTATCTGAAATAGACCGGCTTCCAGTTCCTATCTCTATGAAATATGTATAACTGCTCAAAATCTGATGGAACCTACAAGATATTTACAGATGACAGCACATATGGATTGGTAGTGCCCAAGATCTACACAAGTTGTTAAAAATGTCTCTTTGAGACTAGTTTCTCTAGGATGTTGGTCAGAACCAGATGTGCATTATTAAAGAGCTTTATTCTTATTTCTCAAGTGTTTGGAGTACGTTCTCACTGGTGGGGGGGGAGGATGCTTAACCTGTTGCTTCAAACACAGATATAGATATAGACTGTGATATGTGCTGTGGGATATCTTCTTGTATGCTGTGAATATGTGTTGCTCTAGTTGGCTAATAAATAAGCTTCTTTGGCCTATGTCAAGGCAGCTTAGAGGCAGGTGGGAAATCCAAACAGAAATACAGGAAAGAGAAAGGCAGAATTGGAGAAATGTCAGCCCACCTCCCAAGGAGCAACAAGATATCTGCAGACCACTAATGCCACAGCCACTTGGCAACATGTAGATTAATAGAAATGGGTTAAGTTGTAAGAACTAGCTAACATAAAGCCTGACCCATAGGCCATACAGTTTGTAAGTAATATAAACCTCTGCATGTCTACTTGGACCAAGCAGGTGAAGGGTGTGAGTGAGAGAGATTCATCCCAACCTCAGGGCCAGAGTGGACTGGAGAAACCTCTGGCTACATTTTGGCACCCAATGTGGGTCAAGAATTTCTACCCCAAACCTGAGAAGTCTATAAAAATGGATTCTAAAATGGAGTCAAGAGCAGCTTCCTCGTTGAGTCTCTCAAGCAAGTCATGACATAAAAATGCTGCAACATGCATGCTTGAGCTACAGCATGGCAGGTTCGCAGCTGTGTGGGCTTGACCTACAGCATGGCAGATTCCGGTCATGGTACACAGAGGTGTCTCCAAGCCATGCAGTGTGATGCATGGTGGATTTAGCTTTTGCTAGTACAGACAAAACAATGGGGGTGGAATTCTGGGTTATATACTGCTGGATGGAGGCATAGACCCACTGCTTCCCAGACTCATTGGTGAGCACTGGAACCCAGAGTTGGTGGTAAACATACCTCCAACATGTTGGGAAGCTGGGGATGGGGGGTGGAGCCAACAGCCAAAGTCACCATGCAGCTTAACAGCTTAAAATTGCTCGTAGTCAAAGAGGGATTATGCATTCACAAGACAGATTCAGATAATATAAAACTCTAAATGGTTTAAAATGTATGTAAAAATGTACATAGGCTTAGAAGAGAGAGATAAAAGAACATATGCAGCTATATAATGAAATAGTTTTTAAAAATAAAGTATTTAAAGAGACAGTAAAAGTAATATAAAAGTCAAGCCACATAAAGATGAAATTTACTGGAGCAAAGGGAACACTCCTCCACTGTTGGTGGGAATGTAAACTTGTACAACCACTGTGGAAATCAGTATGGTGCTTTCTCAGAAAATTAGAAATCAAACTACCTCAAGACCCAGCCATCCACTCTTGGGCATATATATACCCAAGGAATGCTGATTCATACCATAAAGATACATGCTCAGCTATGTTCATAGCAGCACTATTTGTAATAGCCAGAACCTGGAAACAACCTAGATGCCCATCAATGGAAGAATGGAT